TTTTACATGGTCATATCCTGGTTGTCCTTCGCGGAGATAGCAGCGTATTGTCGGATCTTAGTTTGGTATATTGAAGTTTGCAAGTGAATGTCATTCATGTATTCCACTGCAGTCATGTATTGGTTGCCGTCCGCACATATCGGATTGTGGAGTCCTTTCCGGATCGTCACACCCACATCATGTCTTATAGGATGTCGTAAGTTCTTGGAGACTGCTTGCAGTAGTGGTGTGTAGTCAGCTTCTTTGCTTCAAGTGTGTATTGAATGGATTCTTGCATTGGTAGCTATTGCTATCCTTTGGGCTTTTGCAAGTCGACAAGACTGTGGTTGAGCTTTTGACTCTATCTGCTAATGTCTGTGGTGTATAGACATAGCTTTGATCCTGCTAGCTAATGCTATGCGTTTGGCTTTGACAAGTTCACAAGATTGTGCTAATGTCTGTGGTGTATAGACAGAGCTTTGATACTTTGCAAATGTCTATAGACAGAGCTTTGACAAGACTGGGGTTGAACTTTTTACTCTATCTGCTAATGTCTGTGGTGTATAGACAGAGCTTGATCCTGCTAGCTAATGCTATGCTTTTGGCTTTGACAAGTTCACAAGACTGTGCTAATGTCTGTGGTGTATAGACAGAGCTTTGATACTTTGTCAAATGTCTATAGACAGAGCTTTGACATTTGACAGAGCTTTGACAAGACTGGGGTTGAAGTTTTGACTCTATCTGCTAATGTCTGTGGTGTATAGACAGAGCTTTGATACTTGGTAGCTAGCCCGACTAAACATGCCAATAGTGACAAAATTCATGTGAGCTACTGAAGAATATGCAATGATCTTTTTAAGATCGATTTGTCTTAATGTAGTTAAGGAAGTATATATTATAGCAATCACACTAAGAGTATAAATGAAAGGAGTGAAATAAATAGTAGCTTCTGGAAACATTGGTATTGAAAATCTTAAAAAACCATAAGTTCCCAATTTTAAGAGAATTCCCGCTAAGATAACAGATCCAGCGGAGGGTGCTTCTACATGAGCTTCAGGTAACCAAATATGAACTGGTACCATAGGTACTTTCACTGCAAAAGATGCAAAAAAAGCAATCCATAGCAATATTTGACGTCGTTCGCTAAATTCTGTTGTTAATAAGATTTGTAAATCAGTGGTTCCCGTTTGAAACAAAATCAATAAAATAGCTAAAAGCATGAAAACGGATCCAAGTAAAGTATATGCTATGCTCAAGCATGGAGAGATACTTCCGATGGTGTGGAGCTTTGACTACTGTGAATGTCTGCGGTGTATAGAAAGAGCGCTGATAATCTTCTAGTGTCTGTAGTGCCTAGACAGAGCACAAGAAATAACTGGAGCACAGGTTCCATTTCTTCGATTAAGAAATTGTACCATAATCGAAGGAATACTTCTGATGGTGGTTAAAGTCTGACGATCCGCTAATGTCTGAGGTGTCTTGACAGAGCAAAGCATGCGGTCAATTTATTTTTGCTAATGCAGAGATTGCTGAACTTTGTGGAAGAGAGTCTTTGGTCAGACTTTTGTCCGTCGTTTATAGACAGCTATTCCAGAGAGTCCAAAGAGAACGTCGTTGTAAGTGCACGTTCAATCCCTCCTCAAGGATGAAGAGATTGATGCCATTTCATTGAAGAGAGACTGCAGTCTGCCTGCTGTGGTTTACAGCCGTCTTTACTGGTGCAGGATTGCAAGGGATACTGATAAGCTGGGCCTACCCGTGACCCACTAAATAACCCCGCACTAGGTCATGGAACCAGTCATCAGTAATACTTTTTAGGAAATTACCTCATGGGTAAGTTGCACTATCGGCACCCTACCCCATCAGACGATTCAGTAGTATACCTCATGGGTAAGTTGCACTATCTACTACCCTAGCAGTGAGCACTTCTATGAAGAGCACCCTGGAATCACACCCATAAAAAAGCAAGAGAAGTTTAGAAAACCGTAAGATGACCACAGGAGTTATGAATCAAGAGGAGAATGGAGGTCTCAACCGAATGTGAATTGCCTCTTCAACCACTGGGACCTCTGGATCTGACCTGGCGAGCCTAACAAGGCGAGCTATGGTACCTCTTTCCGGCAGTCCAGCAGGGAAAATCGGGGCCTATTGGGAAAAACCCAGGCCTATCATAGTCCATTCTACAACCACTGCTACCTCTGGACCTGACCTGGCGAGCTTAATGAGGCAGGGAAAACCCACGCCTATCATTGTCCCTTCTTTGGGTAAAAGGTTGTGTGTCCTCCTAGGTAGTGGTGATTGAACCACCCACAGCACCCAGCAAAAGACATTTCCTGATTCAACAAGGCCATCCCCAAAGATTGCTAAAGAAAAGGGAAGTCTGGGTTTTGAATCTTTTGATCCAATGGTGATGATACAAGGGCAGGAAATCGGCTCCTCGCGATGGGTACCGCTGTTTTTTTTTTTTTTTTTTTATGGTTTAACCTACCTGCAACTGCTCTGAAAGCACAACCCTCAACCCCAAACCCTTACCCTCTTCCCCGACTCCCCGAGTATTCAAGCGGAAATAGCTACAATGATACAATCCAAAAATATGGAGGACTTTACTGAGATTGTCTGGTCTTTTTGGCATTTTGATCCCATCGTAGATTTTCTAGGCGTCGTTCGGGATGAATGAGACTGTACTACCGTAGGTGTTCTGGTCTTCTTTGTTTTAATAATTGGATTGTCGTCTCTCTCCACAGAATTCCTCTAGAAATTGATGCACTGATTCAAACTCGGCCTTTGACGGAAGAACCTGCCATCAGTCTATGTCAGACAAGTCGCCAGCTTGTCTATGTCAGACAAGTCTATGGCAGACAAGTCGCCACGTTCCACCACGTTGTTCCACCACGTTGCTCAACCTGCCATCAGTCTATGTCAGACAAGTCTCCAGCTCGCCAGTTTGGTAGGAATTGGACCAGCTCAACAGTTGGTTACATCATTCAAGGCCTTACTGAGTTTACTCTCGTGGAGGACATAATGTGCCTGAATGGACTATATGCAGGACTGGCAATGCAGGGATGATAGGTGATCGTTCTCGTATTATACTGTTGCACGTTATGTTTTCCGCAAGAGTATTTCTACATGGAGTTCCGAACTGTGTTTTCTTTTTTATTTCTATATTTATTTTTTGTTCTGGGTGCACACCACTTGTCAGCGCACTGCACTGCACAGGTGCATCGGTAAATCGTTGTTTTTTTTTTTGTTTTTTGGGGTGGACTGGGAGTATGATGTGTCCAATTTGATTCCGAAATGGGAGTAGCGATTATGGCCTTGATTCCCCCTTGAATGAAAAGAACAGAATTCAGACTGCAAAACAGCTTTTAGTTTAAACTTTAAACTTTAAACAAAAGCGTTTTCAACTTTTCAGCTGATGGTCAAGTCGGTATGGTGGAGCGGGGGGTGAACAACTTTTTTTCTTTTGGGATTTTGTGTGTAATCTGTGATCTGGGTCAATCTCAGATATCGGAATTCATTGTTACCCATCTCCTGTTCATCTCTTTTTTAAGTTTTCTTTCTTTTGTTTGAAAGAAGTTAAAAGAATAGAGCCTTATGGCTCTAGCTTCTTGTCCATTCAGGGGAGCGTCAATCCAGGCTTTGTCCTGACCTACTCTCCAGCTTTGGTCTGGCATCTGAGGTCATTTTATTATAGTTAAGTTTGAGGCCATAGCAGGAAAGTTCAAATTCTCAATGTTTCTGTAAGAAACATATACACACAAGCGGTTAACGGGGACCCCCACTTTTTGGCCCTGAGTAACCATGAATGATCCTGAAATTAGGGTTTCGGGGTCAAATTTTGTGTTTTTTTTTGTTTTTTTTTAATAATAAGTTAGTAAGAAGTGCACTCTATACATTGGTGTGGAGTTTGCTTGAAATGCCCTTATGGTTTTGTTATAAACTGAGGTGAAAAATGGGGGGTCGGTTAACCGGCTCTCACACTTACTGATTAGTTGTTTGTGGATGAATGGTAGCTGAGTTGTGTACACATTTGGGATCGCCACTGGCTGCAGATTACCCTTGCCAAACCTTATGGCCATCTGTCCTGCTGCCCCGCTAGTTGCCAACTTGAATAGGAAGAATGTCGTGAAAGGGAATGAAAATGAATGTGTGGATTGTGTAGTTGTTTTCTTGAATGTGGAGACCTCCAGCATGCCAAAAAGGGTCAGCAGGAAAGTGATCACGCAAGAAAGCTTTTGTTCTTCCGTTTATCCTCACCAGTATATGGCCCCAGGCAACTGGAGAACCTGTTTTGAGCCTCTCCGAAATTTTAGGAGGCAGCACGCCGTAAATAAAATGAATCGGTGCTGGGGGGCCTCCAAAAGGGACCCTCGGCCGATATCTGGCATGTACTGGTGCTTTAAATGGCCTGAACGCGGCCCCAGCCATGCAAGATTTGTACGTGGCTCACTGCTAAAATTGTGGTGGATCGGGGTTACCAGACGGCAATGGCTAGCAGCATCAGCAGAAAAGGAAAAGAAGTGCGCCGCTCGCTGTTTGGCAAAGCTTTGGTGCGCAGTGCAGTGCAGCCAGGCCTGGGTGTACTGGTGGTGTAACTGTGCCTGTCATAGCCTCTGTAAGAATTATCTTCTCCTCGAATGCATACTGACTTGCAATTTCAAATTGCTTGAGATGCGTGGAAACATGTCTTTTGTATTTCTTTCTATGTATATGAATATTATGAAAGCACCATGCTCAACATGGTAGTAAATGAGCAACTGACATGGTTGGGTTGCAGGGAACTGATTATGCTGTGGAGATGCTGTAAGGAGTTGGATGAGGAAGGGAATGAGAGACTGACATGGCTTTGGAAAAAAAAAAAAGAAAACTGACATGGCTTGCCGGGCGGTATGATGGGGGCGCAGGAAACTGGTTATGGGCTTGCTGGCAGCGAGCGGCAGGGACGTGGTGGCTAGAACTGTGTCGGACTACCGACAAATCGCTGATGATGCAAATGATCCCTCTTTGGCACCTTGTGACAGGCATTCTACAGACAGGGAGATAGCAATCATGGTCTTGATGGCGTACTTATCGTACGTCATTGCGGAGGTACTTTTGATGTCATGCCATTTCTCTCAGCGTTATTTGTCTTTCTTTCTTTTTTTTCAAGTAAAAGAGGGTAACCCCTTATCTTTTTTTGTTGTGACTCACCATTCAGACAGATGGACCGGCTGTCATTTTGAATGTCAAGGATCTGCAGTAAAGTTGAGCAGAAGGCTTGTCTGACCTCTCCAGTGCAGCTAAGGCCATCTGCAATGTGTCCGAACTGAAGGTACTCACAGCCAGGCAGTATTATGCCATGTATGCCTTACCGACTTTACCCCTCGGGAAAGTGTATAAGGACACTCCCGATTGGACTTTTTCGGAGGATGTACCTGACCAGAACTATCACCAAAATCATTCCAGGTGGTCCTACTGAGAGGACACCTGTCAGGAATATGCCAGGATTAATTGACTCTCAGTGAATACATAGTACATACTAACACAAACTTGATTGGGAGAATCTCACAGTTGATTGGACAGCCTCATAAAGACGGAAATCGATTATTGACGACAAAAACATTCGATGAGACCGAGATGTGTTAATGTACACTTGCTCACCCAGCTTCCCCGGTCAACATACACATCACAGTAAACTGTATGATATGATTTGCTCGTGCTGCGCCCACCTCTTCTTCTTCTTCTTGGGACTACGAACAACACTGTGCGATGTCTTCCCCTGCTCACTACCGCCTTCACCTGAATACAACATATGGTCATCATTGCTGTATCTACTATCTACACTCAAAGTTGGCCCGAATACAGCTATAACAATCGTATGTTGTGTTCGGGTGAAGACGGTAGTCAGCAGCTACCTGAGCCTGTTATTTCGTTGAGCTGCGTGTCCCTACGGTTGACCAGTCGTACTGTCTAAAACGATCTTGATCTACCAGTCCAACACATGCCCTCCAAGCAGAAACTTCACTTACATGTCGTAGGTTCGAGGGCAGCAAAGCCACAGAACAACTGAATGTCAAAACTTACCACATCTTAGGCCAAGTTCTGGGTTCAACTGTCATGTGACGACGAGGCACCGTCGACCTCAGTTTGGAGTCCTCTGACAACATGCACACCATAGTATGAACTGAGAAGTTGAGAACAGAATCTCTGAACTAATTACTGTCTAACAACAAACATAGCAAACTCTGATTTAAACCATCGCTACCTTTCAGCCTGTGATGCTAAGGCTCAAAAGTAGCCTACTCCGAATGGGTCGGAGGCCGGCAGAGGCTGGGCGCTACCAGACCACAAAGGCTGGTGGCGCCAGCCAAAAGAAAACAAAAACACTGCGCTGGCACTTCGGCACCCCATTGGCGCACAGTGAAATTCAGGATTGGCAAAAAGAGGATCGGAGGTAGTGCTCGTTTGACAGAGCTCGTTTGACAGAACACACTAAACCCTGAAGTGAAATCAAAATTTCAGATTGCCATGTATAGATGTACGGAATCTACAGCTGCGGTTATCCTCTCTTCTCTTCTCGGAGGGCTCTCTCATACGCTGCAGCAATCTGTGGTGCAATTTCCATAAGAGTGACCCTGTTTATCCTCATCTTCTTCGTTCTCTGGGAGATCGAAATTTCAGATTGCGATGTATAGATGTACAGAATCTACAGCTGCGGTTATCCTCTTTCCTCTTCTCGGAGGGCTCTCTCATACGCTGCAACAATCTGTGGTGCAATTTCCATAAGAAGGACCCTGTTTATCCATTTTCTTCTTTCTCTGGGCAGTACTGAAACTTGTCCCCGTGGACTTTGCCTGCTCTTCCTGTTCTGCATGGTGCTTGCAATAAGTGGTGATCGACGATCCTCTCGACAACTGCCCTTTCATCCATGGCAAGAGGGTGCGTGCTGCATCTTTCTTTTTCTTCTTCTTCTTTTAATCACCAAAACAGAACCTTAAGGTTCTGACTCCTCTTCCACCGGCAAGTCAGGAAGAATTACAACGAGTACCCATACTTGCGGCGCATCACGTGTGGCGCATAGCGCATGCGCACGTGCATCCGGGCGCATGTGATGCGGCATGTCACTTTGGGAAAAAAATAAAAATTTCCGAAAGGACAGGGTGGGGTGGCCAGACGTGCCCCTCGCTTCTAAAAAACAAACTGAAGGAGGGAAAAAAGTTGGGGCTACGTCATACCCCAAAACTGTGTGCGCATGTGTTACATGCTGCGCCTGCACACTAGGGCCATTTTCCAGGCCCTGCGTCCCTCAGGCTGAAAGCCTGAAATTCAGGCTAAAAACCTGAAAACCAGGGCCCACAGGCCCCGTGTCTCTTCAGCCCGAAAGCCTGAAAAACAGGGGCCTACAGACCCTGTGTCGTTTCAGACTAAAAATGGCAATAGCCTTTTTAGCCTGAAACGAAGGGCCATTTTCGGTCGTTCATCAGAACGACCGGCCCTGAAACTCAGGCACCGAACCAGGGTTTCGGGAACAGGCTATTCCTAGCCTGTTCCCACGACAGCCTCAGCAGAGGCTGCAGCGCCAGCCCCTGGCACACTTCGGCATTGGCAAGAGCAGCCTCCTCAGCCTGGCTCGCCCTGCAGGCAGTCAGGAGGCAGGCCGAGGTAGTACATAGGGACTTCCCATGCACTTCACGGGTAGGCAGGAGGCAGTAGTCTTCAGGATTCAGCAGCAGCACTCTGGAGGGAGCGCCGCAGGAGTAGTAGTAGCGTTAGCCTTAGTCTTCAGCACTGGGCGCAGTAGGTAGCTGTAGTCTCCAGCGCTGGGCGCCATAGCTAGGATAGCACTAGAGAGAGAGAGAGAGAGATTGGGCGGAGGCCAGAGGTACTTACCTGCAGCGCCGTTGCTCCTGGCGGTGCTCAGTTTCCCTGCAACGCCGTTGCTCCAGCGTCGAAAAATAAAAATCCCGACTAAGGCAAACAGGGAAACTGAGCACCGCCGGGAGTGACTCGACGACACTCTCGACGCCTCCGGAACCGGTCTCTTCGCGGGTGACTGGCCTTCATTCCGAGGCGCATGCGGAAGTCGATAGTCCTCTTCTGTATTTTTTTGAGGACTATGCTGTCAGGCTCGTTCCTACGCTGGTTACTCAAGCTCAAGGACAAGACGTGTGTGCAGCATCTTCTCCATCCGGCAGCGGCGACGTATCGTCTTCAAGTGGTTCTTCACAGGATTCGGCGCGCGAGTTCAACATAGAGGTATTGGACCCGCTCACGTCCGAGGATTTCGCATGGCTTCCTCTCCCGACCACGGGCCGCTTGCCGGGACCGCAATGCGCAACACTATGTGCACATCTCCACACGTACTTATCCTTCTATGCACCACCAACTTCGCCGACGGATGAGCAAGTCACGGTGGGGGACATCCTTGGGCATGTTACCAAGGTGGCCCGCGAGTTTCGCACGCAGCGGTACGATGACAACAACGCACCGCTCATGTATGTCCGCATTCAAGTTGGGCAAGCGTCCTGCAGCGCTTTGCTGGATAGCGGCGCGTCTCGCAATTTCATGAGCCAAGCCTTTACGCAAAGGGCTGGCCTTGGCGCACAAGTTCGAAGGAAGCCAAACCCGACGGCGATCAAGTTGGCGGATGGAAAGACGCAACAACTTCTCGACCGTTATATCGAGGTCATACCGGTTTATTTCGCACCTCATGCATGAGAACCGGTGACTTTCGACATTCTCGACACGGACTTCGATATCATTCTGGGAATGCCTTGGCTTGCAAGTGCGGATCACACGGTCAACTTCCACCGGCGGACTTTTGGCGTTCTCGACGCCTTCGGCGCCGAAGTGGTGTGTACTATTCCTCTACCGCACCCTTCGATTCGGTGCCAAGTGGTGACGGCCAAATCATTCCGGGCGACTTGCGCTTACGAGCAGCCCGAGGAAATCGGCCTATGTTTCTTACGGACGTAGCCGACTCTTCACCCACATACTTGTCTTCGGACCCCCGGGTGGTGTGGTTGCTGGACGAGTTCGCCGTCATCTTCGAGTCACCTATCGGTGTGGTGCCGAATCGGCCGATCGCTCACGAGATCATACTTGAGGCCGGTGTCGTGCCGCCGAAAGGTTGCATCTATCGGATGAGCGAGGAGGAGCTTGAGGTCCTTCGCGCACAACTCTACGACTTGTTGGCCAAGGGCTGGATCCGCCCTAGTAGCTCCCCATATGGAGCACCAATTCTCTTCGTCCAGAAGAAGAACAAGGATCTACGATTGTGTATCGACTACCACAAGCTCAACACGCAAACCGTCAAGAATGCGGGGCCTCTTCCTCGCATCGACGGTCTTCTTGAGCGATTGGGTGGCGTCAAGTATTTTTCTAAGTTGGATTTGAAATCGGGATATCATCAAATTTCGATCCGGCCGAATGATCGCTACAAATCCGCGTTCAAAACGCGGTACAGGCATTTTGAGTGGGTGGTCATGCCTTCTGGCCTCACCAACGCCCCGGCGACCTTTCAAGCAGCAATGACCAATGAGTTTCGTGCAATGTTGGACCGGTTCGTTCTGGTCTACTTAGACGATATTCTCGTCTATAGCCGGACACTGGAGGATCATCTTGGGCATCTTCGACGAGTGTTGGAGACGCTCCGCCGCGCCAAGTACAAGGCCAACCGCGACAAGTGTGAATTTGTCCGGCAAGAGCTGGATCACTTGGGCCATTGTGTCACGCCGGAGGGCATCAGTCCGCTATCGGACAAGATTCAAGCCATCCAAGAGTGGACGGAGCCTCGGAACATCACGGATGTTCGTTCGTTCCTTGGCCTCGCCGGCTACTACCAGTATTTTATCAAAGGCTACTCGAAGATCGTGGCCCACTTGACCAAGCTTCAATGCGAGGATCGGCCGTTTGACTTCGGAGAGGAGGCGCGGGAATCATTTTTGGCTCTCAAAGTCGCGCTATTGTCTGCGGAGGTCTTGCGGATATACGACCCGCTTTTGCCTACGCGCGTCACTACGGATGCGTCAGGCTGTGGCATTGGTGCAGTCCTTGAGCAACATGATGGTGTGGACTGGCACCCGGTCGAGTATTTCAGCAAGAAAGTGCCCGTCGTGCATTCGGTTGACGATGCACGCAAGAAGGAGCTCCTCGCCTTCGTCCACATGCTCAAGTGGTGGCGGCACTTCCTCCTTGGTCGAAGCCAATTTCGATGGGTAACGGACAACAATCCGTTGGTCTTCTATAAGATCCAAGACACCGTCAACAACACCATCGCTCGATGGATGACTTTCATCGACCAGTTCGACTTCTTTCCCGATCACATTCCCGGGAAGTCGAACCGTTTTGCGGATGCTCTTTCACGGCGTCTGGATCATTGTGCCGCGGTCTACTCAACCTTCGATATCGACGATGACTTGCGGAACAGCTTCATCCGCGGCTACCAAGCCGACCTCGAGTTCCGGTACAAGTGCGCGGATTGCTCCTCTCCTAATCCGGCGCCTTCTCACTACCGGATCCAAGAGGGGTACTTGCTTGTCCACACACGGGTGAAGGACCTTCTTTGCGTACCGAGTGCTCCTCACTTGCGTACACGGCTTCTTGGTGAGTTCCACGATGCTCCCGCCACCGAACACTTTGGAGTCAATCGCACGATTGGCCGACTTCGCGAGCGATTTTGGTGGCCCGGCCTTCTCGGCGACGTCACCCGCTATTGCGAGTCATGCGAGGTTTGCCAACGCTGCAAATCCCGCAACCACCGTACGTATGGCGAGTTACGACCATTACCGGTCCCTTTGAGGCGAAGGGAAGCGATTGCCATGGACATTACCGGCCCGTTCCCCAAGCACAAGACCGGCGTGGATGGGATTCTCACGGTGGTCGACCGACTCACCAAGTTTGCCATGTTTTTGCCTTGCCGCTATCATGCCAAGGCACCGGAGTTGGCCGAGGTTCTTTACGCCGGTTGGATTCG